GGACATGGACTAAATAGGTCAATGGACGTGATGTCACATCAATATTCTACACTAGACTAAACAGGTCAATGGACATGATGTCACATCAATATTCTACACTAGACTAAACAGGTCAATGGACATGATGTCACATCAATATTCTACACTAGACTAAACAGGTCAATGGACATGATGTCACATCAATATTCTACACTAGACTAAACAGGTCAATGGACATGATGTCACATCAATATTCTACACTAGAATCACCTGGTCAATGGACATGATGTCACATCAATATTCTACACTAGACTAAACAGGTCAATGGACATGATGTCACATCAATATTCTACACTAGACTAAACAGGTCAATGGACATGATGTCACATCAATATTCTACACTAGACTAAACAGGTCAATGGACATGATGTCACATCAATATTCTACACTAGACTAAACAGGTCAATGGACATGATGTCACATCAATATTCTACAATAGACTAAACAGGTCAATGGACATGATGTTACATCAATGTTTTACACTAGACTAAACAGCTCAATGGACATGATGTCACATCAATATTCTACACTAAACTAAATAGGTCAATGGACATGATATCACATCAATATTCTACACTAGACTAAACAGGTCAATGGACACGATGTCACATCAATGTTCTACACTAGACTAAACAGGTTAATAGACATGAGGTGACATCAATATTCTATACTAGACTAAACAGGTCAATGAACATGATGTCACATCAATATTCTACACTAGACTAAACAGGTCAATGGACATGATGTCACATCAATATTCTACACTAGACTAAACAGGTCAATGGACATGATGTCACATCAATATTCTACACTAGACAAAACATGTCAATGGACGTGATGTCACATCAATATTCTACACTAGAATCACATGGTCAATGAACATGATGTCGCATCAATATTCTACACTAGACTAAACAGGTCAATGGACATGATGTAACATCAACATTCTACACTAGACTGAACATGTCAATGGACAGGATGTCACATCAATATTCTACACTAGACAAAACAGGTCAATAGACAGGATGTCACATCAATATTCTACACTAGACTAAACAGGTCAATGGACATGATGTCACATCAATATTCTACACTAGACTAAACAGGTGAATGGACATGATGTCACATCAATATTCTACACTAGACTAAACAGGTCAATGGACATGATGTCACATCAATATTCTACACTAGACTAAACAGGTCAATGGACATGATGTCACATCAATATTCTACACTAGACTAAACAGGTCAATGGACATGATGTCACATCAATATTCTACACTAGACTAAACAGGTCAATGGACGTGATGTCACACAGGTCAATGGACATGATGTCGCATCAATATTCTACAATAGACTAAACAGGTCAATGGACATGATGTCACATCAATATTCTACACTAGACTAAAAAGGTCAATGGACATGATGTCACATCAATATTCTACACTAGACTAAACAGGTCAATGGACATGATGTCACATCAATATTCTACACTAGACTAAACAGGTCAATGGACATGATGTCACATCAATATTCTACACTAGACTAAACAGGTCAATGGACATGATGTCACATCAATATTCTACACTAGACTAAACAGGTCAATGGACATGATGTCACTTCAATATTCTTCAGTAGAATCACATGGTCAATGGACATGATGTCACATCAATATTCTACACTAGACTAAACAGGTCAATGGACATGATGTCACATCAATATTCTACACTAGACTGAACAGGTCAATGGACATGATGTCACATCAATATTCTACACTAGACTAAACATGTCAATGGACATGATGTCACATCAATATTCTACACTAGACTAAACAGGTCAATGGACATGATGTCACATCAATATTCTACACTAGACTAAACATGTCAATGGACATGATGTCACATCAATATTCTACACTAGACTAAACAGGTCAATGGACATGATGTCACATCAATATTTTACACTAGACTTAACAAATCAATGGACATGATGTCACATGAACATGATGTCGCATTAATATTCTACACTTGACTAAACAGGTCAATGGACATGATGTCATATTTATATTTTATCAACTAGACTAAACAGGTCAATGAGAAGATTATACAGAATGCATCAACTTTCAATCAAGCTGGCGGTAATGAGAATTTTTTTTTCAAAAAAAAAATAGAAAAAAATCATGCAGATAATGAAAAAAGGGCGCAATTTATGAAAAATATCGTGGGGGAAATATATTAACTTAGAAATTGGAAATTAAATGATTTTTTCCATAGTGATTTTTGTCAAGTTATTGAGAATATTTGAAAAGAAATACATATTACTTATTAACCAAGAGGCCCAAAGGGCTTGTATTGCTACAGGTACTGTATGTTTTGGCAAACATCCATACAATGGACTTCCTGACCAAATATCATGACCCAAGGCCTTTTTGGTTATCAGAAGATGTTATTTAAGGGTTTATCCATGACCTTGAATATAATGTCAAAGTAATATCTTTTCTTAAACTTTGTTGCCCTTCACCCAAGAAACATTTTAACAAACATCATGATCCCTGGACTTTTGGTTAATCGGAATAAGTCGTTTAAAAAATCAACACATTGGACCAAAGTGACCTTGAATAAAGGTCAATGTATTTTTTTTTTTTTTTTTTTGCTGCAAACGGTGTAGGGCTTTATCTAAGGAACGATATTTTTCATAAATTGCGCCTCTTTTCAAATATTCTCAATAACTTGACAAAAATCACTATGGAAAAAATCATTTAATTTCCAATTTCTAAGTTAATATATTTCCCCCACGATATTTTTCATAAATTGCGCCCTTTTTTCATTATCTGCATGATTTTTTTTCGATTTTTTTTTTAAAAAAAATTCTCATTACCACCAGCTTGATTGAAAGTTGATGCATTCTGTATAATCCCTTACCATGATATTGTATCCGAGTTGGCAAATGTGGACTTTCTTTGCCCAGCCATTATTTTTCCATCCCCGCAAATGTATTTGTAGAAATAAAAATATCTATTTTGAAGTTACGCGCGTAATGACATCGGAACCTTTCTTACCTGTTCACTGGTATAGTGCTATCCGGAACTCCTCTCCCAAAAAGTCGGGGTGACCGCCCTTGAAATGGCATGTTACTTCCGTCAAAGATAATTACATAGACGATAAAATCTCCGGTTATTGAGATGTTAATCTCATGTACGTATTGTGAATTTCTCGTTGCCTGTAATGTTATGCACCAAATAAAAGGTAAATATACACACTACCTACGGATACATATTGTTTTACAAGGAACTTATCATAACTACTTTTTTTGAGCCAGTTTCCAAGCGAGGGGTCGATTTTTTAAAATCTGGAGTTGCTTGCCTTGTGTATTTTTAATGACCGTGGACCTCGGATTTGTCAACCGGCACATAAACTTGAATTCTGCTGATATTTCGTTTAAATAACGTCAGTCATGAGTGCTAAAACAAAAATCAATGTTTAAAAAATAATATCCTGGCCTCGAGTGCCTGTGACCTGGACCAGGACGGCCAAATCGATGGCTATGACATTTTCGTCTTTACAGAAAATCAAAAGCTGGTGGTTGCGTAAAATGTTATGTAAAGAAAACAATTGTCGTTTCGTCAGGAGAGACGACTTACATGTAGAAAACATGGGATTCAAGAGGATTGAAATACATTCAAAACTATTCATCGTTGTTTATAGAACCCACAACACAGACATTGGTTGAATCTCTAGAAACGGTGCCTGACAAATCATTTTGTGATTTTGAAGGAATTACGGTCATGGGAGATTTTAACATTAACACTTTACCGGAGAGCCGTATCGATAGTCAGCTGCGTCATATTATGTGAGAAAATCTCGACATGACAAAGCTTATAACAGTCCCTACAAGAGACAAGAGTTCAGCATGAGGACGGAACATGTATAGATATGGTCTACCAAACCTGAGAAGATATCAACTACAGAAGTTCCTACTATATCCCATCAACCTCCCCCCCCCTCCCCCCCAAAATCAATATAGATATATGAAAGATTTCGACCCCGGGGCTTTCAGTGGAAATATTAGGGAAAGGAGGGTACGTTTTCCCCAAATGGTTGCATGATATCATAAATGTAGCTTTACAAATACAGAACAGGCGTGAGGGACATATTGACTTACACTGTAAGTGGAGAAATACAGTAACGTCTATGATTAGAACAGCAAAATCTCTTTTTCTCACGAATTACCAAAGACTATTGGAATAATGATTTTATGTCCCCCAACAGCTACAAACCATTGTGACGTGTACATGTCTACAGAAGATACTACAGAGCAGACCCATAAAAAATCATCAGACATTGTGAGCCAGGACCATCATTATGATGCCTTGTTTATATCAAATTGGTGTGAAGTCAACGAAATCTGTATAAAGTTTTCATGTCAAATTTTTAGACGAAAAAGACCAATTATAAGTCAGTGATCTTGTATGATGTTTATAATTGTTTAATTAGCTCACACTTGGATTACTGCTCCAATGTCTGGGACAACAGTGTCAAAAAAGGATGTCGTAAAATAAGAGAGTCTGAATTACTATAAACTGTGATTTCTTTACACTTTCATGTGATATGTTTAAGCGCCTAAATTGGTAGCTTTTTTGTAAATGAGTTTTATACAATCAAGCTGTTGTAATTTACAATGTGCTTAATGTTTTAGCTCCACAAAGTTTCAATTGTTTCATCTTTGTCTGATGTTAAAAGTAGTCACCAGGGAGCTCATGGAGTCTTTCACCAAAAGACGTGAGAAATTCTATTTCTCTTTTAACTTTTAAGAAATCTTCAAAGATATTTAATATGGAGTGATATCACCCTATCCCTGTTGCTGTATTTTACTAACTGTGATATGTGTTTTGTAATTTTATTAGTAAATATTGTATATCATCTTCTTGGCCATAACTGATAGTGAATGGTCATCTGTCTTACCTGTGTCCAGAGTTTCAAAACCATTCATAAGTGTACTTCTGTCGATTCTTCCATAGAATACTACACCAAGGAAAACGGCCAGAAATATTCTCTTCAGACTTTGGAACAGTGCAATGAAAATGTAGTAAAAGAACATGAAATACGCCATGTTGTGGTAGGTTTTCCTACAATAAAAAAAAAAGATAGATGTCAGTTACCGCCCCCTCAATGTATAACATTACCACGCAAAATATTCTTTTCGATGATGAAAATGATTTTGAGGAACATAATAACACGATAAAAGGAATTGTATATTACTCAGATTACTTTGGTTTCTCTTTGAGAAAAATTGACAAAGATTATCAACTCCAACCTATCGCTGGTTGGCACTCGCTGTTTGGATCGGAGATAGCCGAGTTCATCACGTGACCTTTCGGAACCTCGTTTTCACCCGCCGACTCTTGTCACGTGGAGTCACAATCAGTAATTCATTTGAAAATGCATGACCTGTATGGTCTCTGGGAACACACATCACACTTTGTTTATTCTATCTATCTCCGCACATTTAAAATCACAAATTCTCTTCCTTTCTCTCCTAGTACTCTCAGTTAAGTGAGACTTAGGACCTCCTCCGCGTCGATTTGGAATCCACCATCTTTGTTGTGATTTCTAAATTTTCTCGCATCGCGCATGCGCAGACATTGTTTTCGCTTTCCGAACGATAAGGATTATGAATTGAGTCGCTCCTATTTCATTAGGATTTTTGACGTTTTTAATAAAAACGATTGTGCAAACTTTCAAATACTGGAAAGCTGATGAATTGTAACAGATACTTAGATATTATAATGCATTTATCAGTTATGAAATGAAAATCTGTCCATTTGGTCCCTTTAATTACTACTTTACCATTTTATGTGAATGCTGAGGATCCCATTGTTCCTTTTTTTAAGTGTTAAGCAATGCTAAAAGATTTGCATCTAACTTTCTTATGACATTTCTTTAAATTGTGGCATTTCTCATATGATTATCACATCACGCGATTTTTAACGACGGTGTTTAGATACAATCAGGCGTCTTGCAATATTATAAATCAGTACATCCTTTCCTCAGTCAACTTCTATGTTTCAAATATTCACGCCATGGACATCTCTGACTAGCCCTTGCAGGATAGAACATTAGCATGATGCAGATTATTTCTATATTGGCTGTGTCGTCTCTAATTCTTTGAATAAATGTTACGGTTAACCCGTGTGTCATTTGTGAAAACTTGAAAAGGTTAATATCCCGAGTGGGACGTATTAGCTGTGTTATACAAATTACACATAATGCAAGCGTGAGAGTTATGTTAAACACTGTATGCATTCACGCGTGAGAGTTATGTTAAACACGGTATACATACACGGGTGAGAGTTATGTTCTACAAAGTATACATACACGCTTGGGAGTTATGTTACACACGGTATATATACACGCGTGAGAGTTATGTTAAACGCGGTATACATACACGTATGAGAGTTATGTTAAACAAGGTATATATACACAGATGAGAGTTATGTTAAACACGGTATACATACACTCGTGAGAGTTATGTTCAACAAAGTATACATACACTCGTGAGAGTTATGTTAAACACGGTATACATACACGCATGAGAGTTATGTTAACCATGGTATACATATATGTGTGAGAGTTATGTTAAACACGGTATACATATATGGGTGAGAGTTGTGTTAAACACTGTATACATACACGGGTGAGAGTTATGTTCAACACGGTATATATACACGTGTGAGAGTTATGTTAAACACGGTATATATACACAGATGAGAGTAATGTTAAACACGGTATACATACATGTGTGAGAGTTATGTTAAACACGGTATATAAACACGCGTGAGTGTTATGATTAACACGTTATATATACACAGATGACAGTTATGTTAAACACGGTATACATACACGCGTGAGAGTTATGGTCAACAAAGTATACATACACGCGTGAGTGTTATGTTAAACACGGTATACATACACGTGTGAGTGTTATGTTCAACAAAGTATACATACACGTGTGAGAGTCACGTTAAACACGATATATATACACGTGTGAGAAATATGATTAACACGTTATATATACACGTGTGAGTGTTATGTTCAACAAAGTATGATTACACGCTTGGGAGTTATGTTAAACACGGTATACATATATGGGTGAGGGTTATGTTAAACACTGTATACATACACGGGTGAGAGTTATGTTAAAAACGGTATACATACACGTGTGAGAATTGTGTTAAACACGGTATATATACACAGATGAGAGTTATGTTAAACACGGTATACATACACGTGTGAGAGTTATGTTAAACACGGCAAACATACACGTGTGAGAGTTATGGTCAACAAAGTATATATACACGCGTGAGAGTTATGATCAACAAAGTATACATAGACGTGTGAGAGTTATGTTAAACACGGCAAACATACACGTGTGAGAGTTATGGTCAACAAAGTATACCTACACGCGTGAGTGTTATGTTAAACACGGTATACATACACGTGTGGGAGTTCTGTTCTACAAAGTATACATACACGTGTGAGAGTTATGTTAAATAAAGTATACATACACGCGTGAGAGCTATGTTAAACAAAGTATACATACACGCGTGAGAGTTATGTTCAACAAAGTATACATACACGCGTGAGAGTTATGTTAAACACGGTATACATACACGCGTGAGAGTTATGTTAAACAAAGTATACATTCACGCGTGAGAGTTATGTTAAACTAAGTATACATACACGCGTGAGAGTTATGTTAAACACGGTATACATACACGCGTGAGAGTTATGTTAAACACGGTATACATACACGAGTGAAAGTTATGTTAAACACGGTATACATACACGCGTGAGAGTTATAATAAACTAAGTATACATACACGCGTGAGAGTTATGTTAAACAAAGTATACATACACGCGTGAGAGTTACGTTAAACTAAGTATACATACACGCGTGAGAGTTATGTTAAACACGGTATACATACACGCGTGAGAGTTATGTTAAACTAACTATACATACACGCGTGAGAGTTATGTTAAACAAAGTATACATACACGCGTGAGAGTTATGTTAAACAGGGTATACATACACGTGTGAGAGTTATGTTAAACACGGTATACATACACGCGTGAAAGTTATGTTAAACACGGTATACATACACGCGTGAGAGTTATAATAAACTAAGTATACATACACGCGTGAGAGTTATGTTAAACAAAGTATACATACACGCGTGAGAGTTACGTTAAACTAAGTATACATACACGCGTGAGAGTTATGTTAAACACGGTATACATACACGCGTGAGAGTTATGTTAAACTAAGTATACATACACGTGTGAGAGTTATGTTAAACACGGTATATATACACAGATGAGAGTTATGTTAAACAAGGTATACATACACGTGTGAGAGTTATGTTCAACAAAGTATACATACACGCGTGAGTGTTATGTTAAACACGGTATACATACACGTGTGAGTGTTATGTTCAACAGTATACATACACGTGTGAGAGTTACGTTAAACACGATATATATACACGTGTGAGAAATATGATTAACACGTTATATATACACGTGTGAGTGTTATGTTCAACAAAGTATGATTACACGCTTGGGAGTTATGTTAAACACGGTATACATATATGGGTGAGGGTTATGTTAAACACTGTATACATACACGGGTGAGAGTTATGTTAAAAATGGTATACATACACGTGTGAGAATTGTGTTAAACACGGTATATATACACAGATGAGAGTTATGTTAAACACGGTATACATACACGTGTGAGAGTTATGTTAAACACGGCAAACATACACGTGTGAGAGTTATGGTCAACAAAGTATACATACACGCGTGAGATTATGATCAGCAAAATATACATAGACGTGTGAGAGTTATGTTAAACACGGCAAACATACACGTGTGAGAGTTATGGTCAACAAAGTATACCTACACGCGTGAGTGTTATGTTAAACACGGTATACATACACGTGTGGGAGTTATGTTCTACAAAGTATACATACACGCTTGGGAGTTATGTTACACACGGTATATATACACGTGTGAGAGTTATGTTAAACACGGTATACATATATGGGCGAGGGTTATGTTAAACACTGTATACATACACGGGTGAGAGTTATCTTAAAAACGGTATATATACACGTGTGTGAGTTATGTTAAACACGGTATATATATACAGATGAGAGTTATGTTAAACACGGTATACATACACGTGTGAGAGTTATGTTCAACAAAGTATACATACACGCCTGAGAGTTATGTTCAACAAAGTATACATACACGCGTGAAAGTTATGTTAAACTAAGTATACATACACGCGTGAGAGTTATGTTAAACAAAGTATACATACACGCGTGAGAGTTATGTTAAACACGGTATACATACACGTGTGAGAGTTATGTTAAACACGGTATACATACACGAGTGAAAGTTATGTTAAACACGGTATACATACACGCGTGAGAGTTATAATAAACTAAGTATACATACACGCGTGAGAGTTATGTTAAACAAAGTATACATACACGCGTGAGAGTTACGTTAAACTAAGTATACATACACGCGTGAGAGTTATGTTAAACACGGTATACATACACGCGTGAGAGTTATGTTAAACTAAGTATGCATACACGCGTGAGAGTTATGTTAAACAAAGTATACATACACGCGTGAGAGTTATGTTAAACAGGGTATACATACACGTGTGAGAGTTATGTTAAACACGGTATACATACACGCGTGAAAGTTATGTTAAACACGGTATACATACACGCGTGAGAGTTATAATAAACTAAGTATACATACACGCGTGAGAGTTATGTTAAACAAAGTATACATACACGCGTGAGAGTTACGTTAAACTAAGTATACATACACGCGTGAGAGTTATGTTAAACACGGTATACATACACGCGTGAGAGTTATGTTAAACTAAGTATACATACACGCGTGAGAGTTATGTTAAACAAAGTATACATTCACGCGTGAGAGTTATGTTAAACTAAGTATACATACACGCGTGAGAGTTATGTTAAACACGGTATACATACACGCGTGAGAGTTATGTTAAACACGGTATTGTCTTACTGTATTCGCCACTCACAGTCCCTACCTATTGTTGAGAGACAACACTTTCTCTTCCTTCTCAGAATTCTTGTTAAGTTGATAGTGATTCTGCAACAGCCATTTGCTGGACACAAATTTCTGAAGCATGTAAGTCATTCGGCGAATGACAAATGTTATTCTGGAAGATTAAGAAAACTGAAGTGAACATCGCGTATAATTACTGATCGTAATAATTAGTAATTAAAAGGTAAGTTTAATAAATTAATAATGTATCTGATACATTACAAAAGGAATGTCAGATATATTTATAAACGTACCAAAATGACGTATTCAACAATACACACAACTAAGGGAACAATATATATATGTAGTTATAAACACATAACTTCAAATGACCCGAATTAAATATGGTCTTATTCATCGATACATTACATAGAAAGTTTTCACTGAATGATAATATTCACTACAGACATCCGTATATATAAATAATCGCTACTTACATGAATGCAAGGAATATCTGGATGCGGTGTAGAGGTATATACCCAAACATCGGTAGGACTATGAAATAGGCGATGGATATACAGGAGAAGAACAACACACATAATTGGATCGAGTAGCCTGTGGAAATAACATATAGTTTTGTAATTTGTGTAAAGAAATATCATAATTTTAAACAATTTATAAACAAGAAAGATAAACTGAACACAAGTGCTAGTTCAGCACATCATGAGAGAATTGTAGTGCATCTTTTCTCCATATGTACAATATGGTGTCTAGTTTTATACTGTCTACTTCTCCATATGTACAATATGGTGTCTAGTTTTATACTGTCTACTTCTCCATATGTACAATATGGTGTCTAGTTTTATACTATCTACTTCTCCATATGTACAATAGGGTGTCTAGTTTTATACTGTCTACTTCTCCATATGTAAAATATGGTGTCTAGTTTTATACTGTCTACTTCTCCATATGTACAATAGGGTGTCTAGTTTTATACTATCTACTTCTCCATATGTACAATAGGGTGTCTAGTTTTATACTGTCTACTTCTCCATATATACAATATGGTGTCTAGTTTTATACTGTCTACTTCTCCATATATACAATAGGGTGTCTAGTTTTATACTGTCTACTTCTCCATATATACAATAGGGTGTCTAGTTTTATACTGTCTACTTCTCCATATGTACAATAGGGTGTCTAGTTTTATACTGTCTACTTCTCCATATGTACAATAGGGTGTCTAGTTTTATACTGTCTACTTCTCCATATGTACAATAGGGTGTCTAGTTTTATAGTCTACTTCTCCATATGTACAATAGGGTGTCTAGTTTTATACTGTCTACTTCTCCATATGTACAATAGGGTGTCTAGTTTTATACTGTCTACTTCTCCATATGTACAATAGGGTGTCTAGTTTTATACTGTCTACTTCTCCATATATACAATAGGGTGTCTAGTTTTATACTGTCTACTTCTCCATATGTACAATAGGGTGTCTAGTTTTATACTGTCTACTTCTCCATATGTACAATATGGTGTCTAGTTTTATACTGTCTACTTCTCCATATATACAATAGGGTGTCTAGTTTTATACTGTCTACTTCTCCATATGTACAATATGGTGTCTAGTTTTATACTATCTACTTCTCCATATGTACAATAGGGTGTCTAGTTTAATACTATCTACTTCTCCATATGTACAATAGGGTGTCTAGTTTTATACTGTCTACTTCTCCATATGTACAATAGGGTGTCTAGTTTTATACTGTCTACTTCTCCATATGTACAATAGGGTGTCTAGTTTTATACTGTCTACTTCTCCATATATACAATAGGGTGTCTAGTTTTATACTGTCTACTTCTCCATATGTACAATATGGTGTCTAGTTTTATACTATCTACTTCTCCATATATACAATAGGGTGTCTAGTTTTATACTGTCTACTTCTCCATATGTACAATATGGTGTCTAGTTTTATACTATCTACTTCTCCATATGTACAATATGGTGTCTAGTTTTATACTGTCTACTTCTCCATATGTACAATAGGGTGTCTAGTTTTATACTATCTACTTCTCCATATATACAATAGGGTGTCTAGTTTTATACTGTCTACTTCTCCATATGTACAATATGGTGTCTAGTTTTATACTATCTACTTCTCCATATGTACAATATGGTGTCTAGTTTTATACTGTCTACTTCTCCATATGTACAATATCGTGTCTAGTTTTATACTGTCTACTTCTCCATATGTACAATATGGTGTCTAGTTTTATACTATCTACTTCTCCATATGTACAATAGGGTGTCTAGTTTTATACTATCTACTTCTCCATATGTACAATATGGTGTCTAGTTTTATACTATCTACTTCTTTATATGTTTGATTGAACAGAATCATGACGCCCTGATTTTCGGATGTGTTCAGATTTATTCCACTATACTGGTAAGACAAATGTGTTCCGCCTATACATGAACATTTCCTTTAGGTTGGTAATGTCAAGTTTGAAGTGACAGTTCGATGACTGCAAAATGACCAGTGTGTAGCGTGCTAGCACTGAAGTACATAGTGTACGAAATGGTAGGGAATCGACCAACTTTTTCGGCTGTACTATAATCCCAGGTACACTGAGGTCGATAATAGTGTGACGAGATGGTAAAAAGAATATAGACAAAAATACACAAGATGGTTACAATGTACCGTAGTCATGTCGGCAACGTTTTGTTCAGTTCTATATATTTGATTAAAGTACACAATACTTTGTTTAAGGTAAGTAACTGTACGAGTCCACTGTTTAGTCATTGTAATAACTCACTCCAAATCAAGTAGGCTATCTGATACCCTGGATAGTGTAAGTTCGTCGTCTGAAACATATAAAACACACCTTATTGAACTCAAATTTCGATACAGTTTGACTTTCAAAACTCTTTGTAATATTATGAATTTGTCCTGTTCAATACGCCTGAGGATGTTATGGCCTTACCATAACAGTAACCGCAGACTGCTGTAAAGCCTCCCTAGGAATGACGGAAAAGTCTCCTCTATACAGGCCTTACCATAACAGTAACCGCAGACTGCTGTAAAGCCTCCCTAGGAATGACGGAAAAGTCTCCTCTGTACAGGCATTCCATGTTCTTCCGATAAGAAATCAGGATTTCGGAAATGTTGACAACAGACATCACAGAAGATATTGTCAGCGAGACGTAGAAGGATACTATGGGTAAAATTAATGATACATAAAAGATAGATATATATATAATCAATAACACCTAAAAGATATATATATATAGATAATTAATGATACATAAAATATATATATAATTAATGATACATAAAAGATATATATATATATATAATCAATAACACCTAAAAGATATATATATATAGATAATTAATGATACATAAAATATATATATAATTAATGATACATAAAAGATATATATATATCTAATTAATGATACATAAAAGATATATATATATATATAATCAATAACACCTAAAAGATATATATATAGATAATTAATGATACATAAAAGATATATATTTATATAATTAATGATACATAAAAGATATATATATATATCTATATGATTAATGATACATAAAAGATATATATGTGTGTGTAATTAACGATACATAAAAAACGAGTTATGAAAACCATCAAGACGGATAATGCAAGATCCATACGAAATGGAATGCAAAGTGATTAGTTATAATAGCGTTTACTACGATTAAAATACAAATTATATTAATCTTAAAAAGTATTCTTTAGTCAACACACAATTGTCATCAAAACTGATCAATCTAGGACTCGTCAGTGCTGTTACATCATACAGCTGTTTCGTCCTTCTATGACTCGTCAGTGACGCTAAGGGCCAAAATTTGAAGCCTAGGATGCGACTAAAAAAAACAAAAATGATCGGAAAAAATCTAGACAGGGAGATGCAGCGGCATCATAATTAAATGAATTTCATAATTTTCATATATCAAATAGTTTTAGTACAAAGTGTATGATTAGACCTGTGTCGCTATTCAAAGGAATTGAAATGTGACATGCAGTATACGGCAAACTTAAGGCATGTATTGTGTATGTTTTATACTAATACCTTCTCCAACATCAATGAATGTCACAATACATTCTATTGGTAAGAGGTAAAGAACTACTGATTTGTTCTCCAATCGGGCGTCTGCTATCCACCGATTTAACTCAGTTGTCGCCTGTGTCCCCAATCCCAGAATCACCACTGAAATCTAAAGGTGATTAATCAATCACATATCATTATAAAAACATAATTCCTTTTAATAAATGTACTGAAAAATGATATAAAATATGATATAAACTAAATACGAAATTTCTGAACCAAAGAATGAAGGTTTACAACGATTTATTAATTAGATGATTTTGGAAGTCAATTAGGTGCCGCGTGGTTTCCTATGAATATTGATGAATTACCAGTAAATCAATAGTTATTGGTCACGTCAAGGGTCAATCGAGATAAAATTATTGATGAGATATATAAAATATGCTCGTTAGGATCCAGACGTTTTAGTTTCCAGCATATAATATAGATGTAAAATTTCCATTAAGTTTGATATAAACAAATAAATACCTGATATAGACAGATGAGGGCTACAGTTAAAGTAGCGACAATACGATTAGAGTACCTGAAGGCTCGGTACCCTTTGCAGCTTTGCTGTATTATGTGTAAAAGTCTCGATATGCCTTTCCTGAAAACACCAAATTCATGTGAGAAACTATGGCGATTACGTAAATGATAAAATTGTATTGGACAACAACACAGATAAACAGCTGCAAGTACTGAATAAATGTACTTGTATTATACCAATTCTTTTATTTGACTTTGTTTGAAATGTAACAGATTTATATGCTAAATATCTATTCAATCGATAACTATGGTTTATCAAAACAAAATTCAAACACAATAGAGCTAAAGCTGCCATAAAGTCATGTTTTACCGGAATTAGCCATAAAGTCATGTTTTACCGGAATTAGCCTTCAAGTCATGTTTTACTGGAATTAGCCAAAACGTCATGTTTTACCGGAATAAGCCATCAAGTCTTGTTTTACCGGAATTAGCTTTAAAGTCCTGTTTTACTGGAATTAGACATAAAGTCATGTTTTACCGGAATTAGCCAAAAAGTCATGTTTTACCGGAATAACCCATCAAGTCTTGTTTTACCGGAATAAGAATTCAAGTCATGTTTTACCGGAATTAGCCAAAAAGTCATGTTTTACCGGAATAAGCCATCAAGTCTTGTTTTACCGGAATTAGCTTTAAAGTCCTGTTTTACTGGAATTAGACATAAAGTCATGTTTTACCGGAATTAGCCAAAAAGTCATGTTTTACTGGAATTAGCCAAAACGTCATGTTTTACCGGAATTAGCCTTAAAGTCATGTTTTACCGGAATTAGCCTTAAAGTCATGTTTTACCGGAATTAGACTTAAAGTCATGTTTTACCAGAATTAGCTAAAACGTCATGTTTTAACGGAATTAGCCATCAAGTCATGTTTTACCGGAATAAGAATTCAAGTCATGTTTTAACGGAATTAGCCAAAAAGTCATGTTTTACCGGACTTAGCCTTAAAGTCATGTTTTACCGGAATTAGCCTTAAAGTCATGTTTTACCGGAATTAGACTTAAAGTCATGTTTTACCGGAATTAGCCAAAAAGTCATGTTTTAACGGAATTAGCCATCAAGTCATGTTTTACCGGAATTAGCCAAAAAGTCATGTTGTAAAGTAATAACCCATCAAGTAATGTATTAGCGGAATTAGCCATAAAGTCATGTTTTACCGGAATTAGCCATAAAGTCATGTTTTACCGGAATTAGCCATAAAGTCATGTTTTACAGGAATAAGAATTAAAGTCATGTTTTACCGGAATTAGCCTTAAATGTTCAAGTCATGTTTTACCGGAATTAGCCTTTAAGTCATGTTTTACCGGAATTAGCATTAAAGTCATGTTTTACTGGAATTAGACTTAAAGTCATGTTTTACCGGCATTAGCCAAAAAGTCATGTTTTACCGGAATTAGCCTCAAAGTCATGTCTTACCGGAATTACCCTTAAAGTCATGTTTTACCGGAATTACACATAAAGTCATGTTTTACCAGAATTAGCCTTAAAGTCCTGTTTTACTGGAATTAGCCATGAAGTCATGTTTTACCGGACTTAGCCTTCAAGTCATGTTTTACCGGACTTAGCCTTCAAGTCATGGTTTACCGGAATTAGCCTTAAAGTCATGTTTTACCGGAATTAGCCTTAAAGTCATGTTTTACCGGAATTAGCCATAAAGTCATGTTTTACCGGACTTAGCCTTAAAGTCATGTTTTACCGGAATAAGCCATCAAGTCTTGTTTTACCGGAATAAAAATTCAAGTCAATGTTTACCGGAATTAGCCTTAAAGGCATGTTTTACCGGAATTAGCTTTAAAGTCATGTTTTACTGGAATTAGACTTAAAGTCATGTTTTACCGGAATTAGCCATAAAGTCATGTTTTACTGGAATTAGCCATAAAGTCATGTTTTACCGGAATTTGCCTTAAAGTTATGTTTTACCGGAATTAGACTTAATGTCATGTTTTACCGGAATTAGCCTTAAAGTCATGTTTTACCGGAATTAGCCATAAAGTCATGTTTAACTGGAATTAGCCTTAAAGTCATTTTTTATCGGAATTAGCCATCAAGTCATGTTTCACTGGAATTAGCCATCAAGTCATATTTTACCGGAATTAGCTTTAAAGTCATGTTTTACCGGAATTAGCTTTAAAGTCATGTTTTACCGGAATTAGCCTTAAAGTCATGTTTTACCGGAATTAGACTTAAAGTCATGTTTTACCGGAATTAGCCAAAAAGTCATGTTTTACTGGAATTAGCCAAAAAATCATGTTTTACTGGAATTAGTCAAAATGTCATGTTTTACTGAAGTCATGTTTTAGCGGAAGTAGCTATAAAAGTCATGTTTTATCGGAATTAGCCATCAAGTCATGTTTTACCGGAATTAGCCAAAAAGTCATGTTTTACTGGAATTAGCCATAAAGTCATGTTTTACCGGACTTAGCCTTTAAGTCATGTTTTACCGGAATTAGCCAAAAAGTCATGTTTTATGGAATTTTAAAGTCAACGGAATTAGTCATGTTTTAACGGAATTAGCCATCAAGTCATGTTTTACCGGAATTAGCCATAAAGTCATGTTTTACCGGACTTAACCTTAAAGTCATGTTTTACTGGAATAAGACTTAAAGACATGTTTTACTGGAATTAGCCTTAAAGTCATGTTTTACCGGAATTAGCCTTAAAGTCATGTTTTACTGGAATAAGACTTAAAGACATGTTTTACTGGAATTAGCCTTAAAGTCATGTTTTACCGGAATTAGCTTTAAAGTCATGTTTTAACGGAAAATTAGTCATGTTTTACAGGAAAAGTCATGTTTTACCGGAATTAGCCTTAAAGTCATGTTTTACCGGAATTAGACTTAAAGTCATGTTTTACCGGAATTAGACTTAAAGTCATGTTTTACCGGAATTAGCCATAAAGTCATGTTTTACCGGAATTAGCCCTTAAAGTCATGTTTTACCGGAATTAGCCTTAAAGTCATGTTTTACCGGAATTAGCCAAAAAGTCATGTTTTACGGAATTAGCCATAAAGTCATGTTTTACGGAATTAGCCAAAAAGTCATGTTTTACCTGGAATTAGCCGAAAATGTCATGTTTTACCGGAATTAGCCAAAAAGTCATGTTTTACCGGAATGAGCCTTAAAGTTATGTTTTACCGGAATTAGCCATAAAGTCATGTTTTACCGGAATTAGCCTTAAAGTCATGTTTTACCGGAATTAGACTTAAAGTCATGTTTTACCGGAATTAGCCAAAAAGTCATGTTTTACCGGACTTAACCTTAAAGTCATGTTTTACTGGAATAGCCAAAAAGTATGCTTTTTCAAAAGTCAAAAAGTCATGTTTTACCGGAATTAGCCATAAAGTCATGTTTTACCGGAATTAGCCAAAAAGTCTTGTTTTACTGGAATTAGCCATAAAGTCATGTTTTACCGGAATTAGCCATTAAAAAGTCATGTTTTACCGGAATTAGAATTAGCCAAAAGTCATGTTTTACCGGAATTAGCCAAAACGTCATGTTTTAACGGAATTAGCCATAAAGTCATGTTTTACCGGAATTAGCCAAAAAGTCATGTTTTACCGGAATAAGCCATCAAATCTTGTTTTACCGGAATAAGAATTCAAGTCAATGTTTACCGGAATTAGCCTTAAAGTCATGTTTTACTGGAATTAGCCATCAAGTCATATTTTACCGGAATTAGCTTTAAAGTCATGTTTTACCGGAATTAGCTTTAAAGTCATGTTTTACTGGAATTAGCTAAAACGTCATGTTTTACCGGAATTAGCCTTAAAGTCATGTTTTACTGGAATTACACATAAAGTCATGTTTTACCGGAATTAGCCTTAAAGTCATGTTTTACTGGAATTAGCCAAAATGTCATGTTATACTGGAATTAGCCAAAAAGTCATGTTTTACTGGAATTAGCCAAAAAGTCATGTTTTACCGGAATTAGCCACAAAGTCATGTTTTACCGGAATAAGTTATCAAGTCTTGTTTTACCGGAATAAGAATTCAAGTCATGTTTTACCGGAATTAGCAAAAAGTTTGCTGTTTACTGGAAAGTCATGTTTTACTGGAATTAGCCTTAAAGTCATGTTTTACCGGAATTAGCCTTAAAGTCATGTTTTACCGGAATTAGCCTTAAAGTCATGTTTTACCGGAATTAGCCTTAAAGTCAAAAAGTAAAATCATGTTTTACCGGAATTAGCCATAAAGTCATGTTTTACCGGAATTAGCCATAAAGTCATGTTTTACCGGAATTAGCCTTAAAGTCAAGCCATAAAGTCATGTTTTACCGGAATTAGCCTTAAAGTCATGTTTTACCGGAATTAGCCATAAAGTCATGTTTTAACGGACTTAAAGCCTACCGGTCTAAGTTTTCAGTCTTGTTTTACCGGAATTAGCCAAAAAGTCATGTTTTAACGGAATTAGCCAAAAAGTCATGTTTTACCGGAATTAGGAATTAGCCTTAAAGTCATGTTTTACCGGAATTAGCCAAAGCCTTAAAGTCATTTTTTACCGGAATTAACCTTCCCGGAATTAGTGTTTTACTTAGCCTTCAAGTCATGTTTTACCGGACTTAGCCTTCAAGTCATGGTTTACCGGAATTAGCCTTAAAGTCATGTTTTACCGGAATTAGCCTTAAAGTCATGTTTTACTGGAATTACACATAAAGTCATGTTTTACCGGAATTAGCCTTAAAGTCATGTTTTACTGGAATTAGACTTAAAGTCATATTTTACCGGAATTAGCCATAAAGTCATGTTCTACCGGAATTAGCCAAAAAGTCATGTTTTACTGGAATTAGCCATAAAGTCATATTTTACCGGAATTAGCTTTAAAGTCATGCTTTACCGGAATCAGCCATCAACTCTTGTTTTACCGGAATAAGAATTCAAGTCATGTTTTACCGGAATTAGCCATAAAGTCATGTTTTACTGGAATTAGCCATAAAGTCATGTTTTACCGGAATTTGCCTTAAAGTTATGTTTTACCGGAATTAGCCATCAAGTCATGCTTTACTGGAATTAGACTTAAAGTAACGTTTTACCGGAATTAGCCATGAAGTCATGTTTTACTGGAATTAGAC